CGTGGATGTATTTGAAGTATGACCTTCCAGGTATGAGGTCGGAGGCAAAGAAGAAAGGAACAGAGGTTGGGAGCCACAGATCAGGCTGGGCAGGGGTTAGGTCAACAGCAGTATGGGCAAGAATACCAGGCTGGCTGTGGATGCTCGGTGAGGAGACACTACAGACCAGCATGTCTGAGAAGAAGGAGCGGGTTTGGAGACCAGAGTCCTAAATATAGGCAGGCATCAATACCAACAAATGGCAATGAGGCCATCCCTCAGCAAACAGTGGCAAAGCAGGTGCAACCATCACTGGGCCCACAGCAGTGAATCTGGGGCTTTCTGAGTGCAGGTGGAAGGCCAGAAATATGGAATATGAGAAGCCAGCACAGATTAACAAACTGAGGTCAGGACCAAGGGCAGCAAAGGATGGCCTGTGTCCCATGGCTCATTTCCTCACTAACACTTAGGATCAGTTTAGGAGGCCATGTTCAGGGTATTAGCTCCCGACTGGCTTCTGGGAGTACATGGAAGAGGGTGCTGAGGCCACAGGTATCCATGGGTATGCACAAACTTCCAGGACTTGTCAGTATCAGGAGTTCTCAATCTTTCATGCTTAGCTTCCTAAAAGCATGACTGGTCCCTCCTGTTAAACCTCCTAGGGGCACGTTTTCACAGGTTAACTAGGGAAACTGGCAGAGAATCCAGGCCTGAGAAAGTGAACTGAAATTCCTATTCAGGATGTCAGTGTCTGAGGAAACTGAGGCCCAGTAATAGCTCAGGGAGGTGATGAGCCTACAGGTGCAGCTGTTCCTGGTGCGGAGGAGGAGGTGAGGCGGCACCAACCATGGGAACATCCAAACTGAAGGTTTCTGATGTTTTTGGTGCAGCTGTGTCTACATGAACCAAAGCAATCAGGAGTAGCTTGTGGCACCACATGTTAAGCTGCTCCCCATGATGCTGGCATCTCCTATGGGTGCTGGTTCAAGTTCTGGCTTCTCGACTTCTTATCCAGATTCTTGCTTAACATGCCTGCCTGGGAAAGCAGAGGGAAACGGCCTAGGAGTTTGTGTACCTACACCCACTTGGGACAGCTAGACAGAGTTCAAGGCTCCTGGATTCAGCCTAGCCAGATCTGCCTGTTGTGGCCATCTGAACAGTAAACTAGCAGATGGAAGACTTTCCCTCTTTTTCCTTCTCTTTCTGTAATTCTGCGTTTCAGATAAATAACAAATATGTTTTGAAAAAAAATTCAAACATCAATTGAATATTTACATATATGCTAATAAAAACCAAACTTACATTCAACACAATACTGATTTTAACCCCAAAATGTTTGAACTACGGGGTATATCCAGAATTGACTAAGAGCATAGGCAGCAAAAATAGAACTTATTTTTATGCCAGCAGAAATACTGAAGGGGCATTATTTTTTACCTGCAAAGCAGAGTCCTCATGGAAAATGTCTTAAAGCTTGTTATGCACACAAGCACTCAGTTTTATAGCGTAATTTTCTGAGCAATCCTAGACAATTCTCTCACAGAGAATGTGTCCGATGAGCTAGAATCTTTCTATGGCAGAGTAAATCACGTCTGAACCTCATCAGCAAGATACGATTAAAACATCAGATTTTCTTAACTGTGAAATTTTTAAAAATATGCAACCCTTTGCAGGTTTATACATTCTTCTCGTTACTGATCGTGGCGATTTCAAAGAACAGCAACAAACTTTTTAACAAAACCACTTTTTCTTTGCATTGACATCTAGTTAAAAGCATGTGTAAAGGAAAATAAATTAGTTCAAACAAATGCACACATGAGGAAAGTTTGGGTCCTTTTAGAATCTATTCCACTTGACATTTACATGACACTTTCACATACTATTTAAGGCTTTGGGAAATAGAATTTACAGGGATTGTAGTAGAGTGAGTGAAGTCACTGCCTGTGACTCCAGCATCCCACATGGACACTGGTTTGAGGCTGCTCCACTTCTGATCCTGATCCTTGTTCATGAGACCGGGAAAGCAGTAAAACATAGCCCAAGAATTTGGGCTTCTGCACCCATGTGGGTTATCTGAAATAAGCTCCATTCTCCTGGTCTCCTTCTTGTACAGCCCTGGCAATGGTGCTCATTTAGGGAAAGAACCAGTGGATGGAAGATCTATATTTCTGTCTCTTCCTCTCTCTGTGTAACCCTCTCAAATAAATGAATTAATCTTTAAAAAGAAAGAAAATTTAACTGGTAGGTTTGTGTTTAACCTAACAGTTAAAAGACACATCCCACAACAGAGAGTGCTGGGGTTCTAGACAGAACTGCAGCTCCAGGCTCTAGAATCCTGCTAATGCAGACCCTGGCAGGCAGTGGTCATGGCTCAGTTTACAGGTTTCCGGTCACCCCAAGAGAAACTAAAGACTCGAGTTCCCATCTCCCAACTTGGGTCCTGGCCCAGCCCAAGCTGCCATAGGCTTTTGGTCGGTGAACCAGTAGCTGAGATCTCTCTCTGTCTCTCTGTTGTATGGTCTTTCAAACAAATATACCTTTTAAAAAACAGAAAAGTTTATTTATTGACTCATCATTGTAACCCTATAAAGAGGACACTCACTTATTATTTATAAAATAAGTAGATTTCATGGTTTTCACAATACAGGCCTAGAAGCAGAGGGGTTCCTCCTCTGTGCGGAGCACAAAATCACATCTCCCTTTCCTGACAGAACCGACACCCAGAGAGATCAGGTAACTTGCTGAAGGTCTTATGCAGCCAGAGGACAAGGTCAAATCTGGGTAGCAGTCCTGCCCCAGATCTGAGCTTCTGATCCCACACTTCACCTTATTCTGGAAAAGAACAACGCAAGGCTAGACTCAAGAGTAGGCGCCTACAGGGATGACCAATGAAAAAGTGTTTTCCTTCTCCCTGCAAGAAAATGAACGTAGATCAAGAGGTTCCACTCTAACTTCAGCAAGCCCCCTTTTCACTGAATGCTGCAAAGGACAGCAAGGGTTGGGCATTTGGTCCAGGGTTGGAGTCAGCACTGGGGAAGCCTGCATCCCGCATCAGGCATCCTGGCTCACGTCACAGCTCCTCTGCTTGTGATCCAGTAGGACCTGATGCTCTGCCATCCACAGGGGTCCCAGGCTAACTCTGGCCTGGCGTGAGGCCAGTCTGCCTTTGTCCTGGCTGTTAGCAGCCTTGTGGGGAGTGAAATGGCAGATGCAAGCATGTGTGTCTCTGTATGTGTCTGTGTGTGTCTGTGTGTGTGTGTGTGTGTGTCCCAGATTTTCAAATCAACTTAAACATATTTGAAAGCCCCACTACATCTTTGGATATCCCATCCCTATCTAAGAGAAATTTCATTGCCAACATGTTTTGAAATCTATGTCATTTTTCACAAAATGTATTTTCCATGAACTTTTTGAACACGCTTTACCTCAACAACATGATAGTTTCTTGCTGGAGAAATTTTTTTTACCAGTGTGTATACAGATTGTGGAAATAAATGAGAAAATCCTATCTTTGAAAATATTCCACCGCATTAGTTTTGCTGGAATGCACACATTCAGCCTTGTGAATCTGTGCTACAAACCCCTGGATTCAATCATAGGTGGAAAATACAAAAAAATTTGCATTTTGCACTGACTGAACATGTACCAACATTTTTGTCATTATTCCCTCAAGAACACAGAACCAATGACAAAGTATTATATTGTATTAGATATTACACCTAATCCAAAGATGATTTAAGATACATAGGAGGGTCAGCAAAGGTTACACACAAATTGTCTATTGTTTTAGATAACAGACTTGAGTATCGGCAGGTTTGGGTAATGGAGAGTTCTCTGAGCCCATCCATAGGAGATACCAAAAGGAGATGTTCTGAAAAGCATAGGCTAAATGAACCATGTGCTAGTTGTTCAGTAAATGCAAGTGGCTCTGCACTGACTGAAACACTGAATCGTACTGTTTGGAAATCCAGAAAAAGGGTCCACCTTCTACTAAAGCACCTCAAAGGCACTCACTTAATCACGTTCTGTTTTCATGGATAATTGCTTATCTCAGCCTCTAAGTCTGGTACCATGTTGTTTCTCAGGAATGCTTTCCTCTTAGGTCCATGGCCATGGCAGCAGAGTAAGCTGGAAAGCATGACTGCCATGACATATGGGTCCCAGCTCCCAACAACAGAGGAGGATCATTCCCAATAGTTCTTGGATAGCATAGACAAACATGTGGATTAAGTAGCAACAGAGAGGAGCCAATTGCTAAGACTATCCTGAAAGTAAGATCTTAGCAGCGCAGGTTGCAACTGCAACTAGGCTGATGCAAATGGAGTGCTCCAGTCCCCTTGGTCCTTGGAACAATTCCAAACAGCTTTTGAGCAGATATGCTATAGAAACCAAACCCCGAGGAGATGAAGTGCTTACAGAAACACATATGCTTTCCCAAAGAATCACAGTAGAAAAGCCTCAGAAACTGCAAAGAAAGCCAAAGTACATCTTAATTGTGTTTGAGTGTGTGTGTGTGCGTGTATGAATGTGTACTTGACACTGGGAAATAGAATGGAAAACCACTTCAGTACATGAAAATAGTATTTAAAATTTTCATACAGCATTCCATTGATTATTTTATTTGCAGACACAAGCCCTTCTAACAACCCAAGCAGCGCAGCACCGGTCACCTGGGAAGCCAACGAACAACACCCGCTTAGGAGCAGGAGAGGCACCTACTGCTTCAGAATGCCAGCCAAACCACACATTCCCTAACAGGAATACAAATGCATCCATTCACGCTCTCATTAATGTAACAGTTAGGCTCTGAACAATGCAACTGATTAACATATTCATTGTTCTTTTCCTTATCAACCCCAACTTTTTTTTTAACTTCATTAGGATCAAAGATATCTGAATACACAAAAGGAGGAAAAAAGGGTGTTACTAAACTCTCTCTCTAAAAAGTAGTGGCACCAAAACATCAACACTAGCTTTTTCCCATGTCAAGGCAGTCACAAAAACACTAAAACAAGTCTATGAACCAGTTTTGTTTTATTTGCATTTAACATGAGTATACACATTCATGTGTCTAACAAGATCTGCACTGTTACATTAAAAATACAGTACAATAACATTCAACATGAGGTACTTCATATTTATATTTTTTCCTTCATAAATAATGCTGTAAAAGCTACTAAATTCAAGCACGCTGATGGCTACAGTGTCTTGAATTAGCTGAGCTTAAACACCATAAAAAAACAAAAGACAGTTCAGTGCAATCATTATGTAGAAATTAGACCATTTACTTAAATACTATTTTAAAATATGCTTAAAGAATGGTACATCAGAACTGCTAGCCTAGCCCCTTGATCCCCAGTATTAACAACAACAAAGACTGCCAGACACAGTGGGGGAAGCATCTACAGCATACTGTTTAATAAACTTGTGTGTTTATACGTTAAGAGTTGCCTGCTTCTTCAGAACAATGGTTTCTTGCTGTAAAAGCTACAAAAGTCAGGATTACCAAAGAAAATAAAGCAAATAGATTAGCCTTCATTCCATTTGTTGAAAAACACGCAAAGGAGGATAGGGCTTTAAATATTTTTTTTCTCCACCTAAATATTATTTTCCAATTTTACCCACAGCTCTTGGCCAAAGCCATGCAGACAGTGGATATGTCATTTTTTTTTAAAGTAACAGTGACGAATAGAACACACATTAGGATCTTGTATACCCAGTGTACAGGTCTCAGGTGGCTTTCACCCAGCAGTTTCTTAGGCACGTGGAGGGCATCTAACAGGAGCACTGACAGTGTGTGTCAGCAAACGAAAGATGTTCACACTAAGGCCAGCAATCACACCCACCTCAACAGTCAGGATGAATGAATGAATGGAAAAACTCCCTTCTCCTCTGGCTTCTAATCAGTGCCTTCTAATCAGATCTACCAATGTGCTTGGTAGCTACAAGGTACTGAAATATTTCAATATGACTTAAAAATAAAATCCTTTGTACAAGTGTGTTTTTTTTTCCATTGAAAATGTACCTTTTCTTTGTTTCCATCAACGCTTTGCCAAAACTACTACCTGCAATTTCCCTAATAGGAAATGGCTGTTTGAGACTGTCTGAAAGTTACCCTGGGAGTGATCTTCCCCAGTCACCAGAACAGCTTCTGATCTATGCCAACAGAGGCTGACAGACACAGGTAATGGCAAAAGTGAAGGCAACATTTCTCCTAATCCAGTGTTCTCCTCCAAAGGCGACAGGCCCCCACCCATGGGGCGATGGGGCCTGGAAACACGGTAAACCAGGGCAGTCCCTCGTGGGCCTTGCTCAGGCCAGAAGGGGGGAACTCTTTCTGTCCCACCTCTCACCAGCCAGGCAGGGAGGACACAGATCCTGAGTTGGCAACCGCACTTGCATGCGTGCGAGTGTGCCTGCACACACACACGCACAACCCTTGACTAGCCCCTGGCTCCAGCCCAGCCAGCTGAGGCTTTGCAGAGCAGGAGAAGGAGGTGGCCAGAGACCACACTCTGGGCGGCGGGGGACGCCATCTCAGGATGACACTGAGCACAACAGTTGCCCAGAAACACGTGGATACTTGCACTGGAGGTGAAAACACTCAACACTCCAGTGCTACAGGCACTAGCGGAACGCCAGTCATCTCTGAAGGAGAGCTTTGCAGTGAATTTTCCGTTCTTTGTTGGCATGAACTGTGGACAAGCAAGGGAGCTGGACTGTGATGCTGATGCAATGAATATTAGTGATCATCAAGTGTGTCACTCTAGACCATTTTTTCAAAAACCCTGCAGGCATATATTGGCACTTTAGGACGGCCACAGGCCATATTCTAGCAGTCCAGAAACAGTACGGAATTATAATTAACGAAAAAGATGGCATACAAAGAAGATTGGGTAAAGAGTATTTCAGATAAAAAAAAAGTAAAAGTATCATCACATTTACATATAGTGCTACAAAACTAAGTGCGGCTCCATCCCTGTGAAGTCATGTTTGGTCCTCTTGGAATGGGAAAAGGGAATGAGAATTTTATACAGTGCAATTTATAAAAACAAGCAAACAGTGAGGATTAAAAGCTAGGTGGTGAGAAAGAGAGTTTGGTTTTGTTCAAACTGTTATGCTAATGTGCCATTAATTAAATTATCTGCAGTATGAGACATTTTTAGGATTTGTCTTTAGTTTCAGCTTAAATTATCAGGTGTGCAACGTCTATTGATAAACGTAGAATTTAGTTGCTTCTAAAACAAGCATGTACTTAAATATTTTTTTTCTTCTAAATGAAGGCTAATTCTGCTCGGAATAGAGGTCATGGCCTCAAATTCTTTATTTTCCTTTGAAGTGTTTAAAATGGACAATTCTATGAATTTAGGATTAAAAAAAAAAAAAAAAAAAAACAAGACCCAGAAGTAACAAATTTAAAAGGAGAAAAATAAGAGCCAAACATGACGACTATCAACTTTCTAAACTGCAACTTAATACAAAGGAAAACTTTCGTAACTGTACACTGAGGTTTGTATGTTTTTTTGTGTTTGTTTTTTCTGGAGGGGAAGGAGTCTGCTTTAAAATAACTCTATATGTCATTATTTCCGCTCTTTCCTATTCATCAAAGAAAACCTGAAAGGAAATCCCAGGTGATCCCAAACTGTCTTCAGAGAGGCAAATCTGGGAGGCCAGTGGGGCATTTAGGAGCAAGCACAACATCCCCCCAGTGGTACAGCTCTAAAACTACATGGCCTAAGCGACTCGGCTCCGTGAAGCATCTAGGTAAAAGCGGAATGCGGCTGTGCATCTTTGCTTGTACATAATTGAAAGGTTGAAAGAAATCAAAAGCTTTCTACTGCTCCATTCACTGCGAATCACCAGCGCTGATCATACATTTGCACAGGAGCTAACGAGCGTCAAGCAAGCAGGGGCCAAACGCGCACCTCTAGCTCACACTGCTTCAGGAAGGGAGTTTTCAAGCATAGAATATAAGTTCAGGGATCTGGCCTCCCTGTACCCCAGTGCCATTAGTGCTGTCCGAGGAGCACTGGAATTGGACAGTCACTTTGCCACACTGCACTTCCGTCATGCCCTCCTGTCCGAAGTAGCTGAGTTCATTGCCATCGAGGATCACACTGGCTGTGTAGAAGGTGTCTGGCTCAATCTGCACTGGGTATTCAAACCACACAGGGAAGGTGTTGCTGGAGCCATCTGAGAAGTACTTGCTCAAGTTCTGCCCCAGGACCACGCCCTGCCGCTTGAGTTCAATCTTGGCACTGTATTCCGCAGAGCCACAGCTGGAGCCGTACAGCCCAAAGCCAGCGATGAACACTCTCTTGTCAACCGCAAACTGGATACTGTCACAGCGGCCCCGGTAGCGCCACTGGTTGCTCCGATAGGCACAGGACTGGAATCGGTGACAGCGCTGGGGAACAAGGCCCTTGCGGGCTTTACTCACAAACTGCAGCTCGGGCTTTTTGGCTGCGGTGTACCAGAGGAAGATGTCGTTAGTCTCATTGAGAGTTAATACTCCGGACTGTGCAGCACCGTTGGCAAAGTCATCAAGGGCCATTGTGGGGATGCGGATCAGGTAAAGTGCCTTTCCCAGGACTTTGCGTTTATTCTCAATGCTCAAGGCTAGATCTTGCCGCTGGCATTCGACTTCAGCCCAGTTGAGAGCTGCCTCAAACACCACGATTTCTTTGGCATTCAGAGTCTCCCTGCGGAGAATACTTTCCAGAGTCTGGAAGTCGATATCGCAGAAGCCCTCGGACTTGAGGGCTAACTCGGCCTGGGCGTCGATCACCTCCCAGCAGCGCTGTGTCAGGTCTGGCTCTTCGAACAGGCAGCTCTGGGACAGGAGCACACAGGCGTTCTTGGCGCTCAGGCTGGTCTCCAGGAAATTAACGCAGGCTCTGGCAAGGTGAGGGACGATGTACTTTTTGGCAGCGTAAAGAGTGGCCAGGACTGTGTCAGCAGCCAAGTCAATCTCATCACAATAGATATATCTGGAAGAAAATCCGCAACACACGAATGATTTTTGTCAAAGAGGCATCTTCAGCAAGAAGCAAAACAACTACTCCCAACTGCGTACAAGAATATCATCCTACGTGACAGTTACTACTTTAGAAACTAAAGAAACACAGTCATAAATTATTCATATTTCAACTCCTAGTTCCTATAATTAAAGACATTAACTATTGTGCTACATTCTAGCTTCTGACTAAAGATGGAAAGCATTACATATTGAGATCATCATTAGGAAAGAAATTACAAAATTCTGTTACATATATTCTATGTAATCAAAGAACTGTGCTGAAACAGCAGTTTGTGTAGCTTCTACCGTAAATATGTTTATGAAAATTCAGGTAAAAAGCATGAATACTGTAATGTTAGCAGACTGCATAAGCAGGCTAGGCTGTTCAGGCTGCCAGTCCTGTGCGGAAGAAGCCACGGGGTGCTAACCCACTCCTGAGGGGCAGCACTGACAGCCCAAGTCGTTGGGCTCCTGCTATCCGCAGGGGATACTGCACTGAGCACACAGCTCCTGGCCTAAGGCCAGCCCAGGGCAGTCTGCTGCAGGTACTTTTGGAACGACTCAGCAGTAACTAGTGAGAAAGCCCTCTCCCACTCAAACAGGAAAAAAAATAATAAAAGCAGAACAGGGAAGCTAAAACATGTAATATTTATTTCTGCGCTTCCATGAAGTGCTCCTATTGTAGGAGAGAAGATACTTCCTGGTGTTCCTGGTGTTCCAGGAACCAGGATGCTCTCCTAAAACGACCCATAAAGCAAGATCTCATCTAATTCCCTTACGTTACTATGGTTGACAAAGAAATAGTCAGTGAGAATTACATAAGGATGAAAAATACTGGTAACAACTTTAAATTTTTCTAGCTTTCTGAGTTTCTTTTGTTTCCTAAATAATGCTTTAGTGAAACACACTTAAGAAATTAAAAACAGCTTCAGTAAGAAAATTCAAAACTTTCTCAGCATGCAAAAAATGGCTATGATCACCAATGGGGTGTGCCTTGCTCCCCTCTCTCCAGCAGGGCAGCGTAACAATACAGTTGCAGTTCAGGGGCGGAGCAAGAGCACCAGCACTTGGCAGCTCACATCCTGTAGCCCCTTTTCCTATTAGTGACTCACCATGATGTAGAAGGGAGGAAACATGATCACCACTCTCCTTACTAAGGTATGACAGCAAATGGCATTTCTAATTCTTACCACTTTACAGGGATTGCGCATATAATAAAAAGCTGTATGCATCTATGTTCTAGGCCACACATCTGTGAGAAAAGATACTTGTCAAATGATGAAACAAGTGACTTAGGTGAGAGGTACTTCTCTGCTGTTCGTACGCATGCTTCCCAATTATGTGCGTCTCTGGACTGACACAACACTCCACTTGATGGCAGTGAAGCCAAATCCTCCTCACTACCAGACAACACCAGCTTCGTGGAGCTGGCATCAAAGGTCAGCTAGAATGCGTCCTGCGCACCAGCTTCTAACAGTTCCCAATGGCTCAAACTGGGGGATTCATGTATGTTTTGCTACTAATCAGGTTCACTGCCTTTAATTTTCCTGCTTTTCACTGTGAAAGTTCTAATCACACAGATCAGATTTCAGAACTGCATTCTAAAGAATGAATACTTTGAACGGGGAGGGATAAAAACATGGTATTCATGCAAATCCTATCAACAAAATTTATGAAATACATTTTCTATAAATTAGTGAATTAAAAAAAAGAACGTGAAGTTCTAGAACTAAGCATAATACATATTTTCAGTATGCTTGCAAAAAACACATGTCACCATTGTAACCATCTGAGGGACTATTAGCCAACTTTTCTGACCCATGAAATAACTCTTTTCTTAAACGTATTATTTATTCCAGCAAAATAATATTAGCAGGTAATTTCAAAGCTGAAATACTCTGTTAGAATAAGAATTTTAAAAGTCATAAAAATTAAAAATTACTTTAATCATGGTAAACTATTACACTTTTTAGTCCCAGTACATGGTAAAGAAACTAATCTAGTTTAGCTAGCTCACATATACTGGGGTCTGCAGAAGACCTACTAGATACAAAATTATTTTATAAGTATCTAACTTGTCATAATTTTATAGTTCTGTATTAGCAATTAAAGTTCTCTATATAGATTCATATGAAACTGTTCATATCTTGCAAAAGAGCATCAATCAACTGCAAATGCTTCCCATCCTTGACAAGGTATCTGAATCTGCGCAAGCATGCCCGCCCAGGTACACAGACAGGATTGTAAAATCAGGACTTGCCATGAAGGAAGGAACTCTTAGGAAAAAAAAAACCAAACTTTCCAACTGATGATATTTAAATAAGGTATATAATTTCTAGAATTATGAAGCAAAAACATATTTTTGGAAGATTTCTTTACATACTGCTTTCAAGATTACATCTTCAAATAAATAATGCCTACATTGGAAAGCTTTTTTTTTATGTTGTTAAATTTCAAATCACTAGACCTTCACTGCCTCCTAGCCTACGTGAGGTGTGATCATGAATGCCTGCACACCATTCCACAGGCTCTTGGACTGCACCTTTTTTTCCAAAAACATCCAGCAGATAAGCAGCACGCCCATTCTCCATCAGAGTCTCCTTTTTTGCTACACAGAAGTTAGATTATTTAATGGAGAAGCCAGCAAAGTACGAAGCACAGAATAAACAAACTCTTTCCCAATGTATGAACAACGCTTACTTCAGCATAGCAAGAAAAGCAGCAGGTTCGACATCTGGTATACGGATTTCATCTTTGTCCTCAGCAAGTTCTCCATAAAACATTGCATGGAACACAGAGCTCCCAACAGCTAAAACATACTGTGGAAAAACAAAAATCTTATTTCATGCATTAAATTAAAAGCATTTTCGGCAAATCAATCCAGAAAAACAGGCTCTAGGCAATGGGGTTAACCTAAATGGACAGGGAAAACCTAAATGTGTTCTTTTGAAAAAGCCAAGGTACAGGGTATCATGCCAGGGAAGCATAAGACAGTCACAGAAAACAGTTGTTAGGCAGTTAATTATCTCAAGTCTTTAGGAGATTAACGTACAAGCCCCCATCGGTGTAAATAGAATACAAGCTGATCTGACTTACAAGAGAAGAGTAAACATCTGACTTTCCTAACCTGTCACAACTTCTCATGACTGCACAGTGAGAGGGCTTGTTTTTGCTTGAGATAGAAGGAAACAAAGGAAAAAAAAAAAAAAAACAGCCTCCAAATCAGGCTCCAGTCTTTGGGGAGGGGCCTGCTTTCTGTGTCCTCGGGGGACGTGCACTGTCTGCCCCAGCCACGCGAGTTCCCACACCAAGTTCCCGGCTCCCTGAGGGAGGGTCCTCTGTGACTCCTGGGACTGAGCCCAGAAGGTAGCTGTTGCTTACTTTGTGTCCTGGCAACCGCTGAGTCCCACCTGGTGGCCCAACCACAAAATGTACATCTGCCATCAAATCATTATTGAACATCACCGCATTTCTGTAAACAGAGGCAATGCATTAATTCACAGAGGCCAGCATTTTAATATTCCCTTCCCCAACTCACAAAACCCACAAAAGATTTGCAAACTAAGCAATGGTTTAGTAACTTCAAGGCAAAACAAATAAAGGTTCTAACTAAACAACTTTGTTTTTAATCATTACAAACACATGGCCAGTAATTAATGTTTCTTTAAAAAGAAAGTTATACAAACTTTTCACAAGGCTAAGGGACAAACACAAGGTTTCTATATTTTATTTCCCTTAAACATATCCTTGTCATTTAAATGTTACAGCTTGCAAAAATATTTTTATCTGAGAGGAGAACAGCTGTACTGTTTTGGAAAAGATACAAGGCAGTTTTCCATTACCAATAAAACTTGTGGGAAAAAGGAAACATAATCATGCCCAACAATACATTCCAGGTCCTGCAAAAGCAGAAACTTCACCACAGGAACACTTTCACAGTGGACAGGCTGGCGGGCACTCACCTTTCTCTGATGGTGGGATAGAGCCCTTGCCAGTTCGGGGCCGGGATAAGGTTGTTGTTGCTCAGGTTCTGCTGGTGGTACTGCTGGACAGTGGTGCTGCTGGAGCCGGCTGGTTTTTTCCGGGGGAATATATCAGCAGCCATCTTCTTCTTCTTTTTTGTCTTTAATGTAATTATTTCATAACAAACGGGGGGCAACTTGGTGCTGCTGCCGCCACTGCTGCTGCCGCCACCACTGCCACTGCTGCCGCTGCTGCTGCCGCTGCTACTGGCTTTCTTGGAGCTTTTCTTGGACCTGCTCTTTACCGTCTCTGGAAGCATCAAGAAGAAGGTGAGACATTTCATGTTCTTTTCCTTGTCATCTACCATGAGTACAGTATGTCTCTCTTTATGGCCAGATATCCCAAACTGGATCGAACATCAAGGAAAACGAGCCCAGCTGGAGCTAAGATGTTAACAAACCAACAAGCCGGTATTTTGCTGCTTTTCTCAGCCAGGCAAGGTGACCTTTTCACTATGTTGAACAGAAACTGGCTTTTAAGTTTTATCCAGTGCTGGATCTGTTAAATACATCCCCATCATGATTCCTGCTTTTCTTATTTGTTCATAACAATAACCGTTTCCTAGATCACCTGAAAATGCTACCCTGAGCAAAGACGACAGGCACTGAGCGGTAGCACTTGTTTTCTGAATTAGGTTAGCAAGATGTGCTGGAGCCGAACGCGTCTGCTGAGCCGGCTGAAGTTGTGTGGTGGTGAATGGATCGGAGGAGAGTAGGTATTACAGCCCTGCAGATGGAGTCAGACAGCCAGTGCTCCGAGCCAATCGCTGAAGTCACCAATCAGGATTGGACCAAGCAAAACAGTGACACCTATTGTAACGTGCATAGTTCTGACGTTAAAGGAACAGCGCAGCATTTTCTTGTCTACTGTATATTTAAATAAGATAAACAACTTATGAAGCACAGTCAAAAATAGCAGTGGAGGAATTTATGCCCACAGATTTCTCTTCGGTAGATGGACAGTTTTTACTCAGTTAAGCAAACAGAATCAATTAACAAAGGGAGGGTCAGATATCTACTGCATATTTCTAGTAAAATCTTTTTCCCAAAAGCATTTAATTTAAAATCATTCAACTACAATCCTACAATGTATAAGCCAGAAAAAATTATTAATAACAAAAATCATACATAACATTTATTACAGCTTATGAGGAGATTTTCTATACTAATCTCTGAACGCAAATTCTAAAGCAGAGGCTATTTTCAGTTTACCTGTCCATGTTTATAGCTCCTAAAATAACCTTTAACAGGGGTTTCAGGTAACAACATTCTGATAATTAAAATATTCTAGACTGTTTAGCCGCAATGAAACATAAGATAAATTGAATATGTAAATAAAAAGTAACATTCAAATGAGATTTTGGTAATCAGTGTTTAAAAGCTGTAAGTCACTGAAAAATATGTCAGAAGGGGGCCTTTTCCAAATTTCAAAATCCAACTTAGCTGTTAAAGCTACATTTAGTCTGGCAGTAAACTTAAAAAATAAAATCCACACTTCTAATGAGGAGCCAGTAAGGCCATGCAAAATGATACATCTCTGATGCTGCCTAGTTAAAATGTCAACATGTTCTCTTTACTTTGAAATCAGAGGATTACAAACTACTACACGGTTTTCATAAATGTAGATCCTCTAGTAAAATACTCACACATACACACATACAAACCCTGAAATGCCTATTACTTGTTCTGCACATGCTTATTTACCGGGGAAACGGATAGCGAAGACACTGATTCCATCTGCTGTCTGGGTTACTGAGTTGCTCCAAGCCATGTCAGTTCCGTGCTACCCAACCTAACGCTCTCCTCAGGGCCCCAGCTCACCTTGCTGCACACAGCCATCTGAATCATGACTGCCTAACCAGGTGAGGGTACAGCAGGAGAGTCAGCAGTGCCCATCACCGATTACCGACTGAAGACAATATCAGAAATTAAGTGTCTAAATTCTGAGAACCCTAAATCCTGCACTGAGCCAGGGAAGACTATCTTCTTTTAGGGTCATCATTATTTTCTTTAAAATCATTTGCAATGCCATTGCAAAACATACTGTGTAAGAGAACCATGGTCTTTAAAAAAGGGGTACACACCCCCACTTCCAATGCACCCCCAGTGCTGTTGATTTAACATAATAATCATATTCCTAGCCACAGGGCTGACATTTTTAAATATATACTCTAAATATACTTTAAGATGCAATGTTAGAGAGCGACCGCATGCACTGAAGAGCCAGATTGAAAAGCACAAGCAGAAAGGCCTGAAGAAGAAATAAACAAGCTCACCTTTGGGCTACAACCAAAGGATTTTTCCCCTGCTCAAGTGCCACCCAACTTTTTGACTGCCCCCCTCCTCCACCAAAAGCCCCACACTGGGCAAGCCCTTCTAGCTGCAACTAACACGCATTTCTGACAATGTAGTATCAATCAGGCTTTTCACATGTGAAGTAATCAATCAGAATGGAAAGGGAAACCAACTCTGAAGCAGACGTACTGAAAACTGGCACTTGGCTTAGACAAAACCGAAAAACACAACACAGACACATGAAGTCACAAGGTTCTGGATTTCAAACTCCATCACTAAGAAAGGTTCGACACACACGGTTCACATACCATCCAATAAAGTGGGGAGCACAGGCAATACTGTAGGAAGACCATGCACCATTTGTGAAAATGCTCTTTCTAAAATTAGAGTGCAGTTAGTTGGAAAATTAAGTTTGGCAGAAAAGCTTGAAAATACCCACTAGAACGAGTAGTCTGTCTCAGTCACCCAGAACAGTGCTGCAGAGGGGCATTTACCACTCAGGGTGTGGCAGACTGCGACACAAGGCTGTTAACAATCAAGGCAACCAAAAATCATATGAGCGAGAACTCAGTTAAGAAGGCAGGTGAGAAAGGCCCCCGCTACCCAACAGCACCTGCTGGGAGCTGGCAGAACCCCAGAAAGTCACGCAGAACCAGGATCAAAACCCATACTTTAACAAGGCTCTTGACATAATCTGTATGGCACTCAAGTTTAAGAAGACCTCAGAGAAGTTATATAATGTCTTTGTCTTTTCAATGATCCAATATCACTATCTGGTGCTACAATTTACATCTAGTTTTCAAGTCCCTGGAATAATTCAAAGTCATTAGATAATTCAAAATAATTCATTCGATTTGGATATAAAACTTAACAATTCTTCACATATTTTTCTAAAATTCTGATTAGACTCTGATTGTGAAAATTTCAGGATTCACAGGTAGAGGCAGCCAATGGAGAAATCTCTGTCCAATTAATAAGAAAGGCCACAAAATCCCAGACTATCTTCAAGGGAAATGAGATGATTTTAGTGGGAAAAGGATTAAAAAACACGCCAGGAGTGAAGCAGACAAACCAGTTAAGATTTCTAAATAATCTGATTCCCAATGCTATTTTCAAAAATTAGCAATGTGGTGTGCCACAATCAAGTAATCTGGTTTATTCTGACTGGGCCACTTACAAAGTGGACAGGCAGGGATTAGAGCAGACCAGTTAGTCTTTAAGGACATCCACTTCTTCACCTGCTGAATGAGGTTTGGTAAACAGAAGGGTTCTCAAGCCACAGCAAGAAATACATTTTACATTCTGGTTTAACACTTAAACATGCATGAATACAAATAAGAGATAAACAATAAAAGTTTTTCCTACCATGTTGTAATATACCCTGACATTTTCAATTTCTATTTCATACTTTTTTAGTTTAATGCTAGTTTTGATCTACTGAATATAATAACCACAGTTCAAGAAACAAGGCACAAGTAATGTATAAGGGCATTTAAGGCTTAACATGCAGGTTTCTTTTCTATCAAGAATGTGGAGCAGACAGGCAGGCAGGCAAGACTGCACTGATTTCATGGGAGTCAAGAAAAACCCTCAAATCACCTCCACACCCATTCTTCTGGAAAGAGAAGCCATCTTTCATCTGCCCTTCTGAGTTATTCACAACTTGGAACACAACAAAATTACTTTGTGTTGTTTTCATTTCTACAGTCTGGATATTGAATCCAAACATGACTCTTTCTCTTGATGATATGTAACTATTTACAACTTCATTTATTGAGTCTGTAACCTAGAACGCATCAGCCAATAGACTGAAGGTTAAACAAGGATCAAGATCTGTTGTTAAATTTCACTCCTAAATTTTCTTTCCAGCTAGCATTCTATCACTTGTTGCTACAACTCCTGAATGTTACAGCTGCTTGAGACCTGGCCAGTCAGCACTAATGAGGTATGAGGTCGAGTCCCATCAGTCTCTGATTAATTAAAGTCGCTGAAAACACAACACACTGAGCATGCACCCTATTACAAGTGTCAGGCATCAACGGTGATTCAGATTGAGAACTAAGTTCAAATATTAGCTAACAGTGAACCACCGTTGATTTTGTAGCTGCCAGAAAAACAGAACTGCTATTAACTATTTTTATTCCATTTCAATAGCCACAGTAACACAGTTTAATCTTAGATCATCCATTTCACTGGTAGAAACTCTGCTTTCAAGCCTTTTATTTATTTAAATTCAGCAAGCTGACTCGAGTGAGACTGGGAATTGACAGGGACTGCAGAAGTCAATTAGCACCTGTCATATTTATGGATAAGACACAGTAGGTGTAGTAAAGTTTAAGGTGTCTGAAAAGGTCACAGTTAAGCTGTGGAACAAAGTCTGGACTATTAGATCTGCTTGCCAAGGTCTACTTATCTCACTCTAATTTTTGTCCACAAAATGCTGTTTCTATACTTTTAATCTACTTAATTTTAACGAAAAATTCATATGAGTATACAAAGACTATACTCCTACAGGGAACCATTACAGGGATGAATGCTTAAAGACATTTTCTGGAAGGAAAAAAAAAAGAGGAACTCTAATAGGAAGGAATGAGGAAGCCACTCAAAAACAGAAGAGGCTCCTCAGGTAAAATCAAAGTCAAAAAACCAGCCATTCATGGTTAACACCAAATTCTGTGTCAACAACTAATGATGCTAGCAACTCTTGCTAAACTTGCTCTAAATTCTTGTTTGGACTTGTATGTGCTTTACTACAATACACCTAAAAAGCTACAGCAGTGAGGTTGAATGAAGTTTAAGCAACAGAGGGTAGAATCACTCCCCAAAATGACTGATATAGCCTAAAAGAGGAAAGCAGTTTAACTTGATAACTCATGATGCAGTCGTATTTTGGTTTGGGGTCTATTTTTTCTTTCTGATTACCAAGCAAAAGTTCATGCTTGCAATTTGGAAGGTAAACAAAGAGAATCTGCAAAATGCTGGAAGTTCTTCAAGACAGCAGTTACTGCTGGAAAACAGACTATATGTCTTCTAAATTTGGAAATAAACACGAGTCAAGCATTGGAAGCATGGTGGAACGAAAAAGCAGGTGCCAACAAGTGACCTCAAGATTGCTTAGTGTGCGTGAGCCTCATTAGCCTCATCTGCCAAACGGAGTAATTAGATCCAGCTCACCTCTCAGGTTAATTGTGAAGGCAAGATGATGTTTGTGAAAGCACTTTGATGAAAGTTGAGAATTAGCACTACACAGACAACTGTACCCAAAGCAGGAAACAGAATCTGTGATTCAGTTATTCAGATACAACATCCTCCAGAATTCACTGGGCACTCCTGTGGCACTCTTCCAGGCTGCACAGCTGCTGACGTGTCAATCCCACCTGCATGTCGTACTCAAATCCCACCCAAGA